GTTGTATTCAGGGCTCTCCAGCCACCACACCCCTTCCCTTTCTGAGCCCATGCTCTCAGCATAGGATCACTGCATGGAAATCCCTTGATGGCTTTTGGGCTACCAGCCTTTGTCGTGCAGTGAGATGGATACCAGGGTGGGGACTCCTTCCTCTGCCTTACCTGGCCACAGCCCCTCTCTGCTGCCAGGGACAGGCACTTGGTCAGCTGGGAGTGTCCCCAGAACCTCTGCAGGGTGGCAGGTGGATCCTGAGGGACCTGGTAGCATCTTGTTGCAAGAGGAATTATTTGGCTTTAGGCTCTCCTGTGCCACTATAACAGGAGCTTGACATCATTGCTGAGGCTGCAGCAGAAAAGAGGCTGGTTGGAAACATCTCCAGCGTGAGACAGCTGTGGCTTCCTCATTTCTTTCTCTCCTAGCCTGTACTTGTGCAGAAGCTTCCTGCAAACATCGTGTTTGTGCAGATCTCATCTCACAGAGTCTGCCAGCACTGTGGGGAGAAGGGGCTGCTCAAACTTCAAATTGCTGAAGTATTTAAGGAGCTGCAGTTCCTCTTTGCAACAGGATGAGGGCCTCAGCTCTGTGTGTCTGGGTATTCAAGGGAGATCTGAGACTTTGCTGTCTGGTTTGGTTGCTGTTTTCTTCTAAATAAGTAGAAAAGTAGAAAATAAAGTAGAAAAATATTAGGCTATATTAAGACTCTAAGCAATGTGCTAGTAAATGCAGTTGGGGTTTCATTAGGAAAGTGGTAGGTGATGTCAGTGTGTGTGAAAAACTACAGCTGGAATCTACAATTGCCAATCATCACTGGCATAATATTTTGTCTGTCGTGTCTTTTTCTTTCTTTAAAGCTGATGTTCAAATACTTTAAACATCAAAGTCTTCCCTTCTACGCATTATTCATTCTTGCAAATGTCTCATATCATGCAGTAGAATGATCAGAGAGGTATGTCTCTTTAGATATGGTAAATCAGTCTTGTATCCTTCTGGAAAAGTGGTCGGGAATGATTTTATGGTTATTAATTTGAATTCAATATTTTTTTTTTCAACTTAAGCTTTTTAAAATTCAAAAAAACTTTCAAGAAACTTTTCAATCACTCTCTTCTTGCCTTTCCTCAGAAGTAAAATCTTACTTATTTTGTTTGATCAGCCAATTCCTTCATCTCCTCCTGGGGACATTAAAATGAAATTCAACAGAAAACACCTCATAGAAAATTGAAACTCATATTGGTTATCTGAGTGTGTACCCACCATGCCTGGGACTGTACAACAGAAGGCATGGAGCCTCCAAGGGTTCTGTGTAGGGATGGCATTTTGTAGGTCTGACATGGTCTTCTTTAATAAATTTTTCTGACCACTTTTTTGGGAAAACTTGAACTTGAGAACTGTCCAGATGGTGATGATGGGTATCTTGGTCATACTCAGTTGCCACACAGACGGTTTTCATTAGCTGGCTAAAAAATCATGTAGTCCCTCTGTATTGCTTTAGGTTGGTAGCTCCAAACGAACTTCAGATTGACTTGGAGTCTCTTGCCTTGAGTAGCTGCGTGATGGGCTCTGCAGGTAATGGCTGTAAGATGGATACTTTCATAGAGTTCTTCTCAAAATATTTTAGTTCTGTGTTGTTTTAAGTGAAATGTACTGTCTCTGACCTCGGTAGCTAAATAGAACAGGATTTTAAATGCAGAAACAGCTGAAGTTTTCCTCTCTGACAAGACCTTCGTGCCAAGACGGGGCACTCTGCAGTAACCAAAGTCAACGCAAGCAAATATAACTATTGTAAGATGAACACAGTACACGACCAAGCACAGCTTCAAGGAGAGCCACAGACAGGAGCAAGGTTTGTTTTTCCATGCTGCAGTTACCAGCACAGCCTCAGCTATCTGACAGCCCAGCAGCAGCCCAGATTTGCCCCAGGGCAGTGAACCATCTTTGCTCCATTAGGGGAGATGCCTGTGACAGATGGCTATTTCTGAGTGCTGACTGGTTTTTGAGAGTCTTTGCCTCTGGCTGCTCAGCATCACCTTCATCTTCAGCCAGCTGTCCTGCATCCAGGTGTTCTTTTTGGCTGAGCACAGTGGTAGCAGAGAGATGTAAATAGTGTGATCACCTGTAGGCTGTCACTGGAATGCACAGTTTCTTGGTGTGTCTTTACAGCATCTTCCTCATCCCTCTTGGATGATGTGAGTGGAAACATGAGCCCTGTGGAGACAAGGAGGAGTGAAAATCAGTCAGAGGGTAATAGTGAGAGAGAGAGACACTGGATTTGTGGTTTGGAATGGGATCCTGACATTGCCTCTGGCTTGTTCCATTGACTGGGAACAAACCACCAATGCCTTCCCATGGTCCCCATTTTTAGGGTGGAGCTGATTCATATGGTTTCAGCTAAAGCATTTTCACTGAAGTCCAGCTGTTGCATATATTGATTTTAATCTAGCTTTCTTTTGGCAATACACACCTTTCTGTGTGAAGAAAAATTGGAACATGACCCTTTTGGGTAGGAAACAGTGACTTTAGCTCAGTACTCTTTGTGTGAAAATATTTCAAATGGGGTTGTTTTGTTTTGTTCCACGGAAAAAAAAGAAAATGTATTTTTTGATCTTGACATTTTTCCAAAAAACACGACTGCTGTCCTTCAGTCAGCTCTAGTTTATCTTTTGTAACTTGCTTTGAGATCTCTGGAGGAACAGTGATCTATACAAGCTAGCTAATATTTGAATGGTGTTAGGTGAGGTTTCAGCTGTGTAAGCATATTCTCATGTTCTTCTGTACACATCATAGACTATTTTAAGCTGACCATTTAAAAACATTTACTTAGGTCAAACAGTTGTTTCCTTTTGCTAAGCCAGTCATGGATGAAATCATGTCTCTGAAAGAGCCCATTTAAAACTGCAGTGGTGCAAAAAAAGTCCTCCTCAAAACTTGTTAAACTCTCTGAGAGAGTTGAAGGTGTTTTACAGCTCTTGGGTGTATAGGCTCCTGTCAGAATCCAAACTGAGTTCTTGTGGCCACCTTGTGAACTTGGAGTTTATAATGGAAACAGGGATGCAACAGATTCTTAACCATATCAAGGCCAGCAGGTGTTGCTATAATATATTAAATGCTGTGGAGGCACCTAATAAGCTGCACTTGAGCATTAATTCAATATGTTTTCTTAAACCAAATTGTTATTGGCTAGGAAAATGTAAGGCTGGGAGAGACTTGCAGTAAGAATACTGCTGAAATAATCAAAGCACTGGAAAATTGCAGGTTCTCAGCTGCTTCTGCTGAGCTGACTAGAGGGTTTCACTACAGCTTGAGTGAAAGAAGATCTGACCCTGCATTTGGGCATTATTTGCATTTAAGAACCCAGTACTGAAGGAAATAACTAAATCCTGTACATATTTCCATAGAGACACAGCTATTTGCGAGACATGACACTGCAGAAACCTGTGGCATCTTTTTCCGGGGATAAGATTGGATGATGGTGAAACTGCAGTCTAGGCTTGTTCCGTGCTGCTGCATCTCTCCAACACAGATTTCGTTGGTGATACCCAAAAGAAAAGGGGAGATTTTCTCTAAGACAGAAACACATCATCTCAAAGAAACTGCACCCTCAGGGGCCTTGCAGAAGGTGAACAGCAGGAGAGTCAGAAGTAGGACCAGCAGTGGAGATTTTATACCTCAGGAAACCCTGAGCTGGCCTTGCCAAGTTACAGCAAATTCACAGAGGTTGTAACTTTTGCTGGATTTTGAGTTGGCAGCTCCTGAAATCGAGAAGGAAGGATGAAAGGGAAAAAATTCCCAGAACCAGGATGTGAGATTGGTATATTTCTTTGTATAAAAGGAAGATCACTGTGAACAGGAATGGAGAAGATGTCAAAAGGGGTTATTTAATGTCCACTGGCATTGAACTTAGACAGTTAATGGTTTTAAACTAAGAGATGATCAATTTAAACTAGATATAAAGAAGAAAGTTTTTACAATGAGTGTGGTAAAATACTGGCCCAGCTTTCCTACAGAGGTGCTAGATGTCCCATCCTTGGAAACATTTGAGGTCAGCTGGGACAGGACTCTGAGCAACCTGATCTAGTTGAAGATGTCCCTGCTCCTTGCAGGGTGGTTGGACTAGATGGGCCTTTAAAGGTCCCTTCCAACCCAAACTATTCTATGATTCTATATTTCTACGTATGCTTGGCAGGACTTCTCTCGCATGTGGACGTGGCCCCAGCCGTGTCACTTCCAGGCAGGATCCCAAGCCAGTGTTGTACTTTGGCTGCTGGGAAGTCCATGGAGCTGAGCGAGTCACCGGCTCTCCCTCCAGCTGGTTTCCGCTTATTTCAGCGGTGAGACGGGTGTGGCATCACCTCACCTGCGGGGCTGCAGCGCGGCCAAGGACACCCCGCCCGCTCTCGGGAGCTGCCCCTGGCGATGCTTGGGCAGGACAAGGGGAAATGCTTGGGCGACCAAGGGAAGATGACCCCTGGCGCGTTCCGCGGGGCAGCATCACCTCCCCGCTCGGTCGCGGCGGAGCTCCGGGCGGGCTGGCGGGCGGCAGGGCCGGGGCGCGGGGCGGGCGGCGCGGGCGAGGCGGGGCGGCGGCTCCTCCGTGTGCCTGTGGATGAGATCCCCCGGAGCACGTCACTGCGCACGGCGCTCTGCGTTCGGGGCGAGGAGGGGGAGCGAGCGCGGGCGGGCGGGCGGAGGCGGCGGCTCGGCGGGCTCGGCGGCTCGGCCCCCGCCGCTCTCTGTCCATGCCGCCCTGCCCGCGGCGCGGCCCCCGCGGGGCGACGGCGGCGGGCGCCGGGCGGGGAGCGGCGCGGCGGTGCTGAAGGACAGCTCCGCTCGGCTCCGCTCGGCTCCCGCTCCCCTCGGCTCCGCTCCGCTCCCGCCGCGCTCCCCTCGGCTCCGCTCCCTCGGCTCCGCTCCGCGCCCCGGGCGCGCCCGCTCAGCCGGGTGGCCGCGGGGGCCGCCGGGCGCCGCGCCTGGATGCGCCCCCGGCCACCGCGCCGGCGGCTCCCATGGCGGTGGCACGGAAAATCAAAACTTTGTTGACGGTGAACATCTTGGTCTTCGTGGGCATCATCCTCTTCTCCGTCTACTGCAGGATCCAGGACCGCTCCCAGGAGCTGGTGCAGATCGTCCGGAGCGCGGACCGCCGGGCCAGGAGCCGCGGCGCCAAGGTTGGCAGCCTGGCCGACAGGGAGTCCATCCTGCAGCGCCTGGACCACCTGGAGGAGGTGGTCTACAACCAGCTCAATGGTACGAGGGGCTGGGAGGGGGCGCGGCCCCGGCCCCGGGAGGGTGCCCCGGGCTGGGGGAGAGCGCCCGCAGTGTCCCCCCCATGGGGAGGGCACCCGGCACCGACCCCTCCGCTGGAGCGCTGGAATACCGGGGAAAGGGGTGCCTGCAGGGTTTTGCTGGAGGGGCTTGTTGAGCCTCCCAGCACCACCCTGCCTCCCCGCCAGCTCTGGGTCCGAAGTCAGGACTTCCTCAGTAGATGCAAAGTTAAGGAAGGTGCAGAGTTTATGAGTTTCGGGTTGGGGAGAAGTCCCTACGAACTGTACCAGGTTTTACAGTTTGCCTGGATATATTAACTCTGCATAGGAAGTTGTTTGAAGAGCAAATATGCTGTTAGGTTATAGATGGAAATTGTATACTTGGTTTCAGAACTACTTTAAAAACATTCTGCTGAGTTCTCACGCTGTGTGCTTTTAATGGTCAGTTTAAACACAGCACCCCTATGTTTCCACAATGATTTTGCCATTTACGTTTGTTATTGTCATTGATGAGGAGGGGAAGCATCCACCAGTTCTTTTTATGGCATACCATTCTAATTCACCAGCATTGAAAAATATTGGTAGGTAAGCAAAGAACCCTTCCATGGTAGCTAGAACAGGCTAAGCCATCGAAGTTGTTATAGGACAGCTAACATTTCATATAGAAGCTAATTCTTTGAAATGAATGCATTTGTATTTGCATAGATTCGTAAAGTTCTAAGTGTGAGACATCAAAGAAATAAGTATGTGATTAAATATATGAGTTTTTTTGGGCAAGAAGAGGCTGAAGGAGTGAAGTTTTGCATAAAATTATAAAATAAATGTAATATTTAGTGTCTAGCAACAAATAAAAATTTCAGTGTAAATATGTTTAAGTACAGCAAACGTGCTCCTAGGCTGCTTGTGGAAATCTTACTCGTAACATTGATTTAACAAAGGCTGCTGTCGTCTCAAAATGCAGACAAATAGGAGGGTTAGGATAAAGTATGTTTCCTATTACTACTTTCTGAATGAATGTATAAATCTAAGTAAGTTAGGCTGTTATGGTAGTATGCAGTTTGTGCCAGCAAGTGTTAGAGAAAAGGCATCCCCTTACACTCTCATCTGTATAAACAGGGAAGAGAGAAGGGGAACGTGGAGTGTGGGCGTTAGTCACAAAAACACACATTCAGGAATTAGAGGGAAGTGTCAACAGCTGTGTTTTCTACCCATGTTTTGAAGAATGTAGGATTTAAGAGGAAAACCCTTCTCACAAATTCCAGAAAGCCATGAAGTTCTCCATCTAATTCGTTGTAGCTCAGCTGAACAGGGCTTTTTTGCTTAAAATTGATTTGTTCTTGGTGTTGTTCATAGATGAGACTTTGGGTAGGATTTACCTGTGCTGGGTTCATCTCAGCACAGCATCCCCTGGAGAATCAGCAGGAGTCCTTTATATACTAGACAGGCACCATGGCATGTGATGACTGGGGCTTCACAGCAAACGGAAAGTTCTCTGTAAAGTGTGCCCCTATTTTGGGAACTTTTTTCCTTCATCTTCTTAAGTTTGGTTTGTTGGATATGGAACTTCATGGTGAAATTACTTGAGCTAGTGTTATGTTGTTTCTTCAGATCATAATAAACACTGCAGGCAGTTTTTTCTTCCTGAAGGTTCTTACACAGGAAAATACAGAAAGTTTTTGAAGGCGAGTTCTTCAAATTTCCTGTTCATTTCCCTTCGCTTTCTCTCTGACACCGTTGTTGGGTTTTTTTATTATGACACAGTGGTACATTAACATAGATTAGTTACTTCATTCTGAAACAAAATGCCTTTTTTTTTTTTCCATCCCGTGTCAACAAAACCAAAAAGTCCTAAAATATTAGGAAGTGCTGCACTGAACTCATCAGAGTTGCTTCGCTGTAAGTGAAATCTGGATCAAGCATCTGTGTTTGGGTTTAGCTCACTGGTATTCTGTTCTTAATATCATGACTCATTCTCTATGCCTTTAATGGGTGTAATGCTGCTCTGGCAGCACTGAGATCCAAGGGGGGCTGTCTGTGACAGAAAGGCTGCTGTGACAGAAACACTCTTGCTCTGGAGCTCTGCGGTGTCACCCGACTGTCGAGCGAGGTTTCTGGGACACTGCCCTGTGTCCTGCTCCATCACAAGGCTAGAGGGATGTCTGAGGCTGTCTTGGATGTTACTTTTTCCTGGGATGGGTCAAAGTCACTTTTATATGGAGAGGCAGACATGGATGGATAGATTTTATTCGGAAGCAATGTGAATTCCTCGCGTACACAGAATCCCTGAAAGCACCAGGAGGTCGAGTCCAGCTCAATGCTATTGTTGTGCTAGGTCAGTCCAGACCAGTATTTCAGTTTTCTGCTCTTGTTCCTTTCTATTTTGAGATCAGCAAATTTAGAGCCACCTAATAAGTGTATTTTTAGTAATAATACGTCAGTGTTCTTTTATTTCATTTTTCTGCTCTATTCAGATGAGTCCTAAACTGGTCAGACCTCACCTGGATTTTCTAGGGACTCTGTTGGTGATCCAGTGCAATAGAAAGTCACTCTGTGAGAGACCAGCCCTGCAGCTGCAGCTACACAGAATTTTGTTTGTCACACGTATTTGTTTGCATACAATCAAAGAAGTGTTGTTTAGAAGTTTACCTTCTGTGAGGAAAATAATCACAAGCAGTAACATTATAAATGCATTGAGAGGCAACCCAAAACCGAGCACTTGAGAACTCATTAACTTTTCAGCCTGAATAAAACCAGTGAGTGCAGTGCCTGCGGAGGGGTGTGTAGAACACAGAGGATCACACATGGAAGTCAGGAGAAAGCTGGTCCTTGCAATTATCTTTGGCAGAACAAGAGTTTTTAGGAGAGGATGAAGGAGAATTGCCATGATTCCCTGCAGAGTTGTGCAGACATACACCCAAACAATAGTTTTCATTTGGCTCGTGCTCTGGTTTTTTATCAACTTGGAAAAATAGTATTTCTGAAAGCTTTCTTTTTGCTCAGCTGCTGCTGGTTTTGGTGGAAGTAAATGAATGGGGCATGAAAAGGGAAAGGAAAGCAGTGAAACGTGTCTGTGGAATTTCCTTGGTGAGACTCGATATTACCTCTTGGTGTTTGACCTTGAGTACAACATTTATTCTGAAAAACTGAGTTATTATAGATCTAGTTCATCAATGTATCTATTATTTTTCATTTTTACTATGGTATTTCTATTGATGAATATGTTTTATTGTCATTCAGCACAGAACTAATGCCAGCTAGACTTAGTAGCAATTCATGAAATGGCATAATGATAACACCTTGGTATTTTCTTCCTTTGCCTTTTTTTTTTTTTTTTTTTTGGTAAAGGGGAAAAATTAAAAAACATTTAATTGACTGCATTTTTCCCCTAATCACTTTTGCAACTAAGTCTGTTGCTAATGATTTACCGTAGAGGATAAAGAATTTTCGATGCCCCAAGTAGAGCATAACCTTTCATGCCAAAAGCAATTGAAGGGTCAGACTACAATTTCACTCTAATTGCCTTTTTTCCTTCTCACTGTCTCTTTCCAGTAATACACAACAGTCAATACAACATGTAATTAGATTTCATTCAATCTGCAAAGATTAAGAGTGTTTTCATCTTCTCTTTATGTATGTTCATATCATATCTTCATACCCATGTGTTCTACTTTAGACCCCTTTAACCTGTTTTGTTTCAGATATGGAGGGATAAGTTGGGAGTATTCCCTTGAATTTGACAGATTGTCATTCGTTACACATCATAATTTGACTTTGCTCACTTTGGGAAGATTAAATATAATAGCAATTTCCAGTGAGATAAATGGGTTTTATATTACATATGCATTTCATGGAGGAAGCTGGGGGGAAAAGTGGACAATTCACATAATTGCAGCACAGAGGCTTAAAATGATGGAAATAGCAGGTCCTGGGTGCTGAGGACTGATTCATGCTGACTGGGGCTCCTGATTTTTAGAGTGTACTGGGAGCAAAGTGATTGCATTTAAAATTCAGCCTGGCAATCTGCATACCTAAAAGGTACAGTAGGATTTTTAACGGGACAGTTTATTCTTCGGAGGCTTGTGACTGGTTGAAAATGGTTCCAGATTTCCATATTGAAAGTATAGTTGGGATCAGGCTGTGAGTCAGGTGAATGTCCACATCAGATTTGTCAAAAAGAAGCTTTTACAGCTGGCAACCTTCAGTTGAAGAGCTGAGAGAAGCAGAGAGCTAAAGGCACATGTGCACAGGGGGAGATTCAGTGGGACTGCACCTTCTCGTACCCACACACAGATTCTCATTTGATAACTGTTTCTATGCAGTTTGGTTATGGGCTGGTGCCAACTGGCAAAATCAGCACCTAAGTATCTCTAGAAGTATCATTTATGGGGACCATAGTGTCATATGTGGGGTCTGCTCTCAGCCCTGTGCTTTCCTTGTCCTAGTGAGGGGCTTCTTCATGTGCTCTTCTTTTGAGGACTTTTTCTAAAAAGAAATGCAAGGTTGGGCCTCATGAAGGTGGGGTTGAAAAATACTAACTTTTTTTTCTAAGTTAGGCTGCTGTTTATGGGTTACCACACAGTACATAACAAGTATTTTCTGTTGTGCTGGGTGAGATTCTCAAGCTTAGGTAGGTAAGTCACCATTGCTCCAGGCCTGACCTTCTGTGTTGCAAAGTGGTGGTCAAGTCCAAAAGACTGATTTCCCCATCACGTTGGCTTCAGTTGTGTTAGTCTTGATTTATGTAGCTGAGGAAATCTGTAATCAGGGCTTTCAGGAAGGTCAAGATTTTATTCCCCAAAATAACAAAAGGAAAACATTATAAGCCAATATTTGGATAGCCCCTGTGTCAATGTAAGGTAATATTAGAAATAGTATTACTCTATTTAGACACTTTGGGAAGACATAGTCTAAAAGTTTAGTTAAAAAAGAGGGCAGATCTCTTTTGTAATACAGGCAAAATTGTGCTCAACTCTGCAGAATATT